ACGTGCGACAGCCGTAGTGGGCTACCATCAAACGTGCCTCTCCGACAGCGCGCGGCAGTGCGTGCGCCTTCCCAGCATGTCTCGCAAGCTGAAGTCCTTGTTTGGTCCCGCGGGCAGGCCCCCTCGCGCCGGCAGGCTTCTTCGCGCCAGCGCGGTCGCCCCCTCTGGGGGCGGTCCTTCTCCTCGCGAAGCTATCGACAACAGGCTCCTTTCGAAGCAATACTTGAAGGCCGGAGGATGGAGAGAAACTAAACGGTTTCGCTAACGTGCCTCTCCTACAGCGTTTGGCAGCATTTGTGCCTTCCCAGCCTGTCTCGCAAGCTGATGTCCTTCTTTGGCCCCGCGGGCCCCCCCCCCGCGCTGGCAGGTTTCTTCGCGCCGGCGCGGTTGCCCTCCTCGGGGGCGGTCCTGCCCCTTGCGAAGCAATCGATAACAGCTCCCTTCGAGGCAATGATTGGAGGCCAGAGGAGGGAGAGGAATAAAACGGCGACATTCGGCACGGTATGCATATGATGCAATCGGTGCAGATGCTTGCTCACTCACGCTCTCCTGCTACCCTCGCTGATGTTGCTGCTTCGTGTTCTTCCCGGGGAAGTGGCCCGGGAAGTGCTCGCGCGGTCGTCGTCGCCGCCGCCGTGGTCGCGTGTGGGGGGGTGGGCGGGGGGGGTTTTCCTGGGCCGCAACGCGCAGCCGGGCGTTGCTTGCGCTGTTCCTGTCGGGTCCACAGCCTCAGCGCGGGCGGCGCTTGCGCCGCCCCCCCCGAGGCGGGGGGGGCATGGGTGGGTGGGTGGGTGGGTGGGTGGGGTGGGGGGGCAGGGAAAAGGGAAGGGGAAGAGGAGGGGGGGGCTTCTGTCCGCGTGCCCAAATGCACTGGCCGCCGTTCTTGCAGATGCCCCCACCGACGCGGGCGGCGCCTGCGATGTTCTTCCAGAGGCGGGAGGGGTGGGGAGGAGGGAGAAGGCAGGGAATGGGAGAGGAGGGGAATGAGGAGGAGGAGGCCCCTGTCCGCGCGCCCAACTGCACAGGTCGCCGTTTTTGCAGAAATCCCGGCCAAAATGTTTGCACAAAGTGGTCTTGAACATCCGGTCGCGGCGCTCCGGTTTCTCCTGGTCCCTCTGCTGCTGCTCGCGTTGCTCAACTTTGTGAAGCTGCTCCTGCGCCCAATCGACCTCCACACGCGCCTTTGCCTGCCCTGCCGCCATGATGTTCAGCTCCATGAACTGGGAGAAAGACGCAGATCAGGGATGGGGGTAGAAGGCGGGGAAGGATTAGGATGTAGCTTTGCGGGCAAGGCCGCAACCCCAGCCTGCTCGGAAAGCTGCTGGGGCGTAGGCTGGCGGCGTCGGCCCTTGCGTCGGGCGGCCTGACATCGGGGGGGGCCTTCTGAGGGGGCAGGAGTGTTCTAAGAAGGCAGGGGATTGCTTGGAACGTTTCGTCGTCGTCGTCGTCGTCGACGACGACGACGGGGGCGACGACGGCGACGGGGGCCGCGACGACGACGAAGCGCTGCGAGAAATCTCTGGGCCCTTCAAGGAGGACGCCTCTCGCCTTCTTATAAGCCCCCCCCCCTCGCCCCGCCCCCCTCTGCGCTTCGCCGAAAAAGGCAGCTCCGCCCTGCGCTGCGTCGAAGCAGTGCCCTCGAACCAATGCCTTGCGAACGCGCGGGCGCCGCCGTCGCCGTCGCCGCCGTCGTCGTCGCCGCCGACGTCGTCGTCGCAGTCGTCGCTAGATGCACATGCGGAGGCTTGGCGCAGGCGCCGAGGCAAAACCGAGTGCTTGAAAGACATGCGGCCACATGCGCATCCAGCTCTCGCAGTGTCTGCCCCCTCCTCCCTCCCTCCCCCTTCCCTCCCTTCTCCTCCTCCTCGCCTCCCTCTCCTCTCGCGTCCTCCCCTTCTATCTTCGCTCCTCCCTCCTCTCGCCTCCTCCGTTTTTTTGTTCCCGTTAGCCCCAGGGTTCTTGTGGCCCGCTCTCTCCATGAAGCGCGGGGTATATTCCGCCCGCGCGGCTGTTCTGCGCCCTTCACGATAATGGATGAACAATATGGAGCTGGGCGAATTCCGCCCGCGCGGCGCCAGCTCGAGTGCATCGCGCGCTTCGCAGGGGCCGCTGCGCGCCCCCAGGCGCGCTCCGAAGCGTTGTCGCGCGCTCCTTCCAAGGGCCGCCGCGCCCTCCTGCGCTGTTTCTCCTGCGTGCTGCTCCTCTCGCGTGCTCCTCGCTGTCCCTCCCTGCTCCTCCCCGCTCCACGCCGCCTTCCCCGATGACTTGCGTGCGCCAGAGTGCGTTGTGTGTCTTCATGTGTAATGGGTTTTTTTTGGGTGGGTGGGATGTTAGCACCGCGCCAATGTGTGACACGTTCAGCATGTTGGCATCTTCGCGTTCCTGTTGACCTTGAATTTCTAATCATAGAATTATTAAACCCTGAATAACCTAAAAGCGGTCCGTATGCAAACCGGCTCCATCTACTGCAAAAAATAGAATTTCCTGAGCATGCGTGCGTAATCTCATATTTTTTACAACACAAAGTGCCCAGCCCCCGTTGCGAACCCGCTCCATCTACGGCAAAAAATAGCATGTCCTGCGCATGCGTGCAGAATTTCTTTTTTTTTACAGCACAAAATGCCCAGCACCCGATGCAACCCCGTTATGTAAACCCGCTCCATCTATTGCCAAAAAATCGCATTTCCTGATCCTGAGCATGCTCCATCCTGAGCATGCGTGCAGAATCTCTTGTATTTTACAATACAAAATGCGACCCCCTTATGTACACCGCCTCCATCTCCTGGACAACCTCGCGCTTCCTGCGCATGCGTGCAGAATCTTAAGCCCGTTAGAGCACTCGCGTGCCACCTGGATCGCACATCCGTCGTCGCCGTTGTCGTCGTCGTCGTCGTCGTCGTCGTCGTCGACGTTGCACTCGATGTGGTTCTACCGAGGGGAGAGATGATCTTTATGGTGGGGTGGCGTGCGGGTGGGAGTGACTGACGGCCATCGCAGGTGGTTTCGCGGTCCAGGTGTACTCGTGGCCACGCCTAGTAGACCCTAAACCCTAAACGCGCTTCATCAATGTGACTTTGAATCCTAGACAGAACCGGTTCCCTCGGTCCCCGCCCCTGGGGAGCGACGCCCGAACTCTTCACGATCCCTTATTAAAATGTGGTGCGGCGCACATCCCCATGCGATTCCTAAACTCGCGCGGTCCTCCATTCAAAATGTGGCGCGAGCCACATCCCGCGCGGGCGGACGAAAGGAGCGAATTTCTTGCCCACCCCGATCATCCACTGAGGATGTGGTGCGGTGCACATCGCCATGCGAAGCTAGATCCTAAACTCGCATGGTCCTCCATTCGAAGGCGGCGCGGGCCACATTCCGCGCGCGCGGCCGAAGGGAACGAATTCCTTGCTTTTCGCGACCTGCCATTCGAAATGTGGCGCGGGGTACATTCCGCCCGCGCGGCTGTTCTGCGCCCTCCGCGATCGTTTATAAACATACGGTGCGGGGCGCATTCCGCCCACGCGGCGCCCGCTCGGGTGCGGCGCGCGTTTCGCAGGGACCGCCGCGCGCCCCGTGGCGGCCCCAAGCATTCCGAAACGATGTCGCGCGTTCCTCCCGAGGGCCGCCGCGCGCTGGTGTGTTGCCTGCTGTTCCTCCCGCTGCTCCTCGCTGCTCCACGCAGCCTTCCCCGATGGCTTGCATGCGCCAGAGCGTGTGTCTTCATATGCAGTGTTTTGTTCCAGAGTGGGTGGGATGTGAGCACCTCGCCAGTGTGTGTCACGTCCAGTATGTTGACGTATTCGCACTCTTGTTGACCCTAACCCAAAGTCCAAACCCATTCTCAACACATCTTCATGTCAGACATCCGCCTGGGTGACCTGGACAATGAAAACCAGCGTTTCGCTCGAGACAGTGTCAACACATTCTCATGCTAGACATCTGCCAAGGCGACCTGGACACGTGAAGCCAAACGTCTCACTCGAAACATCCTCAACAAATCCTGATGCTCTCGCCTCAATGCCGCCACATCCAGATCCATTTTTGATGGTCCCAGGCCTGGGCCCGAAGAGGGAGAACCCCGGAGCCGAAATGAGGGAAAAACGCCCAGCAAGACAAAATCCGAGCGTCGGAGATCTGAGGGCTAGGGGATTGACAAAACACCCTTCAGCACAACCTCATTTAGTGAAAGCTTCCAGGGGTACTCCACGTGTGCACAGCACCGCGTTCCGAGTGCACTTGGCGGAACGCACGTCGTTTGGCGAAACCGACTGGGGACTGCACTGGTACACTCGTGTGCCAAGGTCGAATGAACCCATCCAGATTTCTCAGTCGAGTTGTCTGGGTGGGCGCTCTCTCCATGCCCGACGGGTGCAGCTCAGGCCGACTCCGTCCAGTGTGTCCGGGGAGCTCCACTAGCATCGGCTCGGTGTGGACCCGCCGACCCACGCTTGCGCTGGCCGCTGCCCATGCCTCCTGCGTGGCGATGCTGTTAGGGCGTGGACACCCAGATGTTGAGACCAACTCTCCAGCCCTGAGATCTTGGCGTCTCAATCGTTCCGAGCCCAGCGTGTTCGCCCAGGTTCGGGCCCCACAGATGGACCCGGCTCGAGAAATGGCGCAGAAAGATGGGGTCCAAAGCTCTGGTCGCGGTTTTTTGTGATGTTGCAATTTTTCCGCTGCGCCGAATCTCAGGAGTAGCCGCTGTTTCCACGGCGCGAAGTCTCGGCCAGGCTGGGTCAAGACTCGGCCCCCGAACCTCTCCAGGAGCGCGCTCGGACAAGAATCTCGGGGGGGATCCAGCCATGGCCGCGAGATGCAGACGTATGGCTCGGTGATCAAACATGCCAAACATGAAATCACCTATACATGCGCAAGAAGACGTAGGTTGAAGTTGGACCACGTAAACATGACTGCGCTGCGAAACAACAATGTATACGTCGGGGTGCTCGGGTGCAGAGAACCCATGGGCGATTCTTGGCACTACGTGTGTCATTGCGAAGAAAACATTTTTCTGACAAGTGGCAATGATGATGGTGGTGATGTCAGGGACGATAATGTTCAGGTAAATCGCATGGAATAACCATGGGCGAAAACAAGACCTAATCCTCAAAAGGGCGGGACTGCAGAAATTCATGGCAGAATAGCGTGCTGTGAAACACGCCGCCCCCCGTCACGCGGCAATCAATGCTCGAAGAATGCCACGGGAGGTATACGTCGGCCTTTGCTGCGTATATGTCTTTGAACGCCGCGGTCGCCTGAACTTCTGCATTGTCGCGTGTTTGCCAGTCTGCGAAGGCATCTGGTGGCACGCGGGACGGCCGAACGGCAAAGAAGTCTGTGTGGGTCTGTCTAGGAGTACAGCCAGAATGCGGCTCGCAGTACCTCCCACAAGCGGCGAATATACCCCAATTTTCTGCCTTCTGCATGAGAGGCCATATCAAATTATCGTTGTAGATCACGACATCCGGATTTATCCTGATAACCCAATCGTAACCTCGGAACCATCCGCTGGAAAATCCCACGTGGGCCGCATTCATTGCGCCCTGCTGGTAGCCCGGATTCTTATCGAAATGGACGACACGATTCCGCACAGGCCACTTATCCAACAGCTGGGTGATTCGATGCTTCTCGTTTTCTTGGAGAGTGTCGCTCCCAACGTACAAGATGACGTCCGCCTGCATAAGCATCGGCGAGGTCCGAATCAGCGGCGGCAAACACTCTAAGTAGCTCATGTGCTGACCCGAGGCGTGCGTTGTGACATACAGCACAACGCTTGCGTTTTTACGTTGTGGCGCACGCACCATGCGCGAGGCGTTCTGTTGGTAGATGTCACGAAGCATCATCGTAGACGTCGATGCGGTTACGGCCTGGATAAGTTGCGCCGCAATGTACATGGTCATGGGTGCCAACCGTACCGCAGCCATCCCAATTAAATCAGTGAAAGGTTACACAGGCTCAGTAAGCAGATGTTTGGGCGCACAGCTCGCCACAGTTCCGTTGGAACATGAGTGGCTTGAACCATAATGGCTGCGGAGCGCCTCTCTCGGCCGTCTTGGAACTCCTGTTGAAGCTCGTTTGGGCCGTGTTGGGTCCCTCGTGGGCCGTGCTGGGGCCTTCTTGGGGAATTTGGGCTGGGCCATCGTGGCCCTCCTGGGGACCTCCCGTGGCCCTCGTGGGTCTCTCTTGGGAGCTTCTGGGGGCCTCGCGAGCTTCTTTTGGGCCGTCTTGGGGGAGTCTTGGGGCCCTCGTAAGCTGTCTTGGGGGCCTCTTGGGGACCTCTCAGGCCGTCGGGGCGTTCTCCGAGGCTTCTTGGGCCGTCGTGAACGCTGCTACGACACAAAAAGCGCATATGCTGAAAATGCACGTTTTTCCAGAAACGAATTGGAAGATGTTTGCCTCTTGAGGGCCCTCCTGAAGGCCTGTTGGGGCGTCTTGGGGGCCTCTTGGGCCGTCTGGAAGTCGTCTTGCGCTGTCTTGGGGCTCTCCTGCGCCTCTTCGACCACGTCTCTGATCGCATCGGGTCTGCTGGGCAAGGTCTAGCAAGGCGCCCTGGGAAGCGCGGCAGGGCTGGGGGACCTCTTCCAAAAACGTCCAGAGGGCCCCAAAGGCCCGGATCCTGGTGGTCTGGTTTCTGCGGGGGGAGGGTTTTTCCCGCCCCCCCCCCCGCTTGTAAACATAAAGGACGAGGAATATGGCAATGTATGCATGCACAAGACGTGAGGGCTCGCTTCGCTTCGCCTCGAATCTTGGCCCTGCGCCCAGGCACTGCTAGGGGACGGCCGAAGGACTCAGCGGAGCGGACAGGTAATGACCAGGCCAGATGGAGCCCGCAGGCACGTTCACGCGGCTTGGTTGCGACGAGGGCGAAGGTGAGCCCTGACCCCCACAGGGTAATCTACATTATACTCATCTGCATACACATATTCGGAGGGCCAACGTACCCGGCCAAGGGAATGCCGAACGCTGAAACAAACAATTCGGCCACATGGTGGGCTTCGGGAGCCCAGAACCAAAAAAACTTGCCATCTCTTGGGGACCGACCTTTGCTTCTGCCAACTTTCGCGGGCCTTCCGCCAGCGGGGCCGCCCCTGGTTTTACTTCCACTGGCCTTCCGCCCGCCTTCCGCCGAGAAGAGATGGTAACTCCTTCGACCCTCGGATGCGAGGCCCTTCCTGCAGCGCCCGACATGTGCACGGCTGGTTCGCGTCGCGCTGTCGCGCGCGGGGCAAGGCCGAGCGTGGCACGGCGACGCGGAGTTGGCGGGGCAACGGGGAACGATCGGCGCAGAGCGAAGTGGAACGAGCGGGGCACCCTGGGAAACGGGCCGGGCAGGGCGCGGCGAAGTGGGGCGAGCGGGGCAGGGGGGGGGGGGCAAGCGGGGCAAGGCGAAATGGAACGCCCGCGTGGCCGCGGCCGCCATGTTCAGCCCCCGCCGCGGCCGCGCCCCCGGCAGTGGCCGCGCAGAGGAGCGCGGATGAGCGGGCAGGGCAGGGCGCGGGAGCGGCACAAGGCGACACTGCACGGGCGGCGCGGAGAGCAGCGGGCGGGGCCAGGCCGAGCGGGGCCCGGCGGATCGAAGCGAATGGAGACGAGGGGGGGGGGGGGGCGGCGGGGCAGAGCGAAGCGAACAGCTCGGCAAATCCTCGGCGCTGGCGCCCGCCGCCCGCCGCCCCGATCGCCGCGACGTCGTCGGCGACGGGCGCGGCGAACGGGGGGGGGGGGGGAGGCGAGCCCGCGCCTGCCCCCCCAGCGCCAGCGCCGACGCATCCAGCCGCAGCCGGTCACGAGGCTGGGGCGCCCTGGGAGCGTCCTGGAGAGCGACCGGGGACGCCTGGGGGCGCCTGGCAGTTTGGGAAGCGCCCGGGACCTGGGAGCGCCCGGGAGCACCCGCCAGCGCCTGGGGGCGCCAGGAAGCACCTGGGGGCGCCTGCGAGTCTCCTGCGTGCGAGGGGCGCCTCCCTGTGCGCCTGCGTGCCTTCTGCGTGCCTGCGTGTCCTCGCTGTGGCTGCGTGTCTGTGTCTTTTGCGTGCCTGTATGCTGGCGCGCTCTCTACGTGCCTGCGTATCATCTCCGCGCACGCGTAGTGGCGCGTGCTCTGCGTGCCCGCGTGCTTGTTTGCTGTCTGTGAGCATGCGGGTCTCCGCGCTCCGCGCGCGCCGCAGTGCCTGCCAGTGCACGGGCGCCACTGCGCTTCTACTGCGTCATCGGCAACGCTCGGTCTGTGGGAATCCAGGGGCACCCCCAAATCCTGACATGCTTTAGTCTGGGAGGTCGCCAGCAATGCGGCTAGGGGTGGGAACTTCTTGTAGCTCTTGCACCATCGGCATGCTTGATCGGGTCGGCGAAGTGCCTCCCAAATCACCGAAGGAGGGCCCATTGACCTGGACAGTCGGCCGCTGCAGGCCGAGAAGCCTGAAACCCTAAACCCTAAGCCTTAAACCCTGGATCCGATGTTTCGTTCCTGCGCTTGTATACTACTTCTGTATAGTCCGCAAGTTTGACCTTATCTTGAACATTGCGCAGTGGCCAGTGCTGCATGCCAGTGCTGCATGTGACCACTGGGCATAACAACTATACACGAGCTTCACGTATGGCCCACCATCAGCCCCAGCGCACTCCAACGAACGCTTGGGGATTCATGGAAACGTTCGACCTCGAACAAGCGCTCCGGAAGCCCAATGGAGGCACAGTCTGGGAGACTCCCTGGGTTCAAAGGATCGTAGCGACGGATGCTTACTATGGGACTCCAGTCGTGGTGCCGATACCCCACATCGGCAACATGGAAGCTATTCAAGATATGTCCGTTTCACGGATGTTTTTGGGATCGAGCACGTGCCACCGGAACGGACGCAATGCCCCACCTCCTGCTGCTGGTGCTGCTGGCCTCCCGCTGCTGGTGCTGGTTGCTGGGGCTGGGGCTGGTGCTGCTGGGGCTGGTGGTGCTGCTGCTACCTTCCTGCTGCTGCTGGTGCTACCCTCTGGTTGTCGTCCTCCCGCTGCTGCTGGCGCCGCTTCATCGGCCCCTCGGGTAAATCCGCCACCGTGCCTCTGGGCACGGAGTGGGCGTGTCCTCAAGTCTTTTGCCTAATCCCTGGAGCCCCAATCCTCAGTCCTGAGGAGTCTTCAGAAAGCCCGGGCCCAAAATTCCGACATCTCCCAGGGCTTCCCCCTTGCCCCCTTGGGCTCCCCCGCATCCAGTCGCGTGGTTTTTTCGGGCCCAAGAGGGCCCCAAGACGGGCCAAGAGGGCCCCAGAAGGGCCCCAAACACGGTCCAAGAGGGCCCCGAGACGCCGAACGATCGCTCCAAGACGCCTAAGATGGACTCAAGATGGCCCAAGATGCCTCCAAGACGTTTCCCAGAAGCCTCCCCAGAGGGCCCCGAGAGGCGCAAATCATGGATCGTCCTAAGGTGCTTGAAAAATGTTGGCGTTCTCGTCTTTTCTGTTCTCCGACGCCCCCAGACGGCCCAAGAGGGCCCCTGAGACGGCCTAAGATCGCCCCAAGTCGGCCCCAAGACGGTCCCCGAAAAGGCCCAATAGAGAGAGAACACGAACTGAAAATCCGAGCCTTCCGCCCCAAGAGGCCCCCAAGAGGCTCCCACAGGCGCCCAAGAGGCGCCCAAGAGGCTCCCAAGAGGCCCCCAACAGGCCCCAAGAGGCCCCCAACAGGCTCCAAGCCCAAGAGGCACCCGAGAGGCCCAAAAGCGTTCCCAAGGCCGAAACGCCTCAAGCCTGCCGAGAGGCCCACGAGAAGCCGCCCACGAGATCCCGACGAGCATCCAACAGGCTTCATACCCACAGCCCAATCACGGTGGCGGGGTGCCTGGCGTGCTAGACTTCTTACGGGGCCTCGGCGCGTCCCGCCGGCTGCCTGCCTCGTCGGCCTTTTCGCTCAAGGTGGCCCAAGATGGCCTCCAAGATGCCTCCAAGACGGCCAAGATGGCCTCCAAGACGGCTAAGACGGCTTCAAGACGCCTCCAAGACTGCCCAAGATGCACCCAAGACGGCCTAAGACAGCCTCAAGATGGCCCAAGACAGCCTGAGAGGCCCCCAGGAGGCCTCCAAGACGGCCCACGAGGCCTCCAAGAGGTCCTCCAGGAGGGCCCGAAAAGGCAAACATCATTGATTTTTTTTGTTGAAGGACTTGGAGGCCCCAAAGATCGCCCACGAGGTCTGCAAGATGGCCGCATGACGGCCCAAGAGGCCCCCAAGACGGCCCCAAGAGGCCCCCAAGACGGCCAAGGAGGCCTTTAAGACGCCCAAGATGGCCTCCAAGACGGCCCTGGAGCATTCCAAGAGGGCCCCAAGTCGGCCCAGAGAGGCCTCCAAGACGGCGACGGCGTCAGACGTGCCAGGAACCCACCAAGATGGCCGAAGTTGGCTCGAAGCTGGCACAAGACGGCCCAATAGGCCTCCAGGAAGGCCAGAAAAGGCAAAACTCATTGACTTCCCATGAGTTTTTGAAGGATTTTGACATTTGCTTCTTTTCGGCCTTCCGACGGCCCGAGACGGCCCAAGAGCCCCCAAAGATCGCCCAAAGATCGCCCAAGAGGCCTCCAAGATGGCCCCAGAACGGCCCAAGAGGCCCCCAAGACGGCCCCAAGAGGCCCCCAAGACGGCCCATGAGGCCTTTAAGACGCCCAAGATGGCCTCCAAGACGGCCCTGGAGCATTCCAAGAAGGCCCCAAATCGGCCCAGAGAGACCCCCCAAACGGCTTCCGACGGCGTCAGACGGTCCAGGAGCCCACCAAGACGGCCGAAGATAGCCTTAAGATAGCCCAAGGCGGCCCAAGAGGCCTCCAAGAGGGCCTCCAGGAAGGCCCGAAAAGGCAAACATCATTGATTTCCAGTAAGTTTTGGAAGGATTTTGACATTTGCTTCTTTTCGGCCTTCCGACGGCCCGAGGCGGCCCAAGTGCCCCCAAAGATCGCCCAAGACGGCCCCTGGAGGCCCCCAAGACGGTCCCAGAGGCCTCCCAAACGCTCAAGATGGCATCCAAGACGGCCCAAGAGCCCTCCAAGACGTCCTCCAAAAAGGCCCGAAAGGGTCAACATGGCTCCAGACGGCCAAGATGACCTTCAAGATGCCCACGTGT